AGCAGGGTGCAAGTCTGACGCTTGGCTACGACAAGTACAAGATGGACCTTTAGTGCTCGACTTCGAAAAACAAAGAGAGAACTAATAAGGCTTGGCATCAAATATTAGATTCACCTTCAATGCTTGATTTTAATGAATTTTAAAGAAAGTTTTGACATGATGAGAGAGGAGCATGCTTCAACTATAATGTATAATTAGGACTATTTGTATATTGATAGATATCTACTTCCTATCTCCCATTTTTACTTAAATATGTTGACCTCAAATCAGATGTTGTGTCGAAGCACATCCCAAACGCCTTCACGGCAATAAAAAAAAACTCATATACATATTTTGTAGTGTCGGGCATCCGCGTCTCATACATGTCTAACACGTGTACGACACATTTTTAGAAGTTCCAGTGCTACATAACTTAAAATTTGCTTATCCATTTGCATTATAATCCTCCATCAAGCACCAAATTTGGCCAAGTCTAAAATTCCAAGATCTTGCTTCTTTTGATTAATTACTAGGACCGCAATTCCACATAAGATAGTGAGATATCAACACCAAATCTACACTATGTTCTCCATGATTTATGCACGCTGGTCCTGGTTCTATGATAGCAACAATTCAATGTGAGTTTTGAACCACATAGGCCAAACTTTTTCTTGGTTTTTTGCCTCTATGTTGTGCCAAAATTATTTTTGAAGCATTCTCTAGCTGAAAAAAAAGAATCAAGACAATATTTCTTTTCAGGGCTTAATTAGCACATCATATCAGCTACAAAAATTAATTGAGTTGGCTCAATTTTGGCTAATTTTGAACAGTATGTTGATTAAGTGGGTCACACTCATTTAAGTTTATTTGATTTATAAGAATACAGACAAATAAAACTATATTACATCAATATAATTTAATTATATCGTTTTATGATTCATATATTTTTAAATACTGTCTTTTTGTACCTAATGTTTTAAATGTTGAATTGCTTTCTTAGTTAATCATTATTTTATAAAATAATTTGTATTTTATGTACAACATATAATGTTGTATTATAGTATAAAATTAGACAAATTAAAACATAAAGTTCATTTAATCAGAAAACTGAGTGCTCTTTTAAACTAATTATTTCTATTCAAATCCTTCCGTTAATCATCTTTTTTTTCTTCTAATAAGTTGTGTAAGACATCATCCTATGAGCTTTTTAACTATTTTAACTATGACCATATCAAAATATGAAATTATATACTTTGAATAAAGTAATTCTCTGATCATGATAAGTAGGCTTGAAATTAAGCTCCGAGTTGATCAAATAGGCTTTTGGTTATTTAATTTGGGCTCATGATTGTTAATTTATATGATCATAAGTTATATAAGAGTCTGCATTGTAATCAGAGAGTTATGATCCGAGGGAGCTTCATATTTTATTATTGATTAAATGACTTTTAAACAATTTTTTATCCAATTACTTTGGATGAAATGAAGTTTTTATAATATCATCGACATATATCCAACATGTAAATTAATTGTCGGCGCAACCCCATACATTAGAGAAATTTACATAATAAAATACTTTGTGTCACATTAACATTGAGAATATCTCACTTCTAATGTTTGACACATTAAATGTTTGTCTTGGTATATCAATGAGTCCATAGTCAATCATCATGACAAAGAAATATGTTGAGTAGATAGATATCATATGATTAATATATATGCTAAAATGTATTTCAAACACATTCTTATTATGTCCTTGTTATATTTTAACGAAACACGCTAACAATAATATAAGTTTTCTTTCACATGGTTATATGGATGTTGTGTTTTATTTGTGTATGTTTGTGTATGGATGAGCTACTAATTTATTTTTATACCTTTAGTGCGCAAAGTGGCATAGAGCTTGCACATATGCATGCATAAAGTTGGTAATACTGAGGCACTCAACCGACTCAGCATTTTGGCCCAAAACCCTAATCGCCCCTTCCTTTCTCCATCATGCCATCATGCCATCATGCAATCAATTCTTTGACTAAAGTGCTTGTTCTCGTTCTCGTCTAATTTTATGAAAAAAATACTCTCTACGATTGTCCTCATTTGCGAGCAACCAATTCATAACACATTAAACTTGGTCTTCTCTGATTGGGTGTCTGCACATAGTAACCGCTAATGCTTTTATTATTTTCACTTTTCTCTAGGAAAATAATTGATTAAAATATATTTTTTTATTTTTCTGTAATTAAATCCAAAAAAACTGGGCTGTTAAACATTTGTGTTCATATCTAACACCTCGCACTTCCAATATATATATATA